GCTCTGTCAGTCTTCCCTTGCAGGAAGATGCTCCAGCCATCTAAACATCTTAGTGACCCTCCCCTGGACCTGTTCTAACAGGTTGATGTCCTTTCTCTGCTGGGGACCCCAGAGCTGTATACAGGGTTCCAAGTGAGGTCTCACAGAGCAGAGCAGAGCAGAGGGAGAATCCCCTCCCTTGCCCTGCTGCCCATGCTGCTTTGGATGCAGCCCAGGATGAGCTTGATCTGGGCTGCAAGTGCACATTGCCAGATCATATTCGGTTTTTCATCTAAAAGTACACCCAGGTCCTTCTCCACGAAGGACTTATCCCATATAAAACATACAGACATATCTCCCTCCAATATAGACATATACGATATAAACCCCCTTGACACAGTCAGATATAACTGTGTTGTAAGCATATGCCAGACGATATTTGGCATTTTGTTTGTTTCTGTACCTAGTGTGAGACTAGATCTTAGCGTAAAATAGTAAAATTTATTCCTAGATAAATAGTAAAATAATTCCTGGACGACACCTCAGGTGAAGCTGAGTTGAGCAGGGAGAAAGTGTTCTCTGATGCCTCTCTGAAGGCACATATGTGGGACAGCCTCACACCACATCACTGGAAGAACACAGACTCTGATTCAGTGTTAGACAAATGTATTAAAGTCCTTGCAATAAAAAAGGATTAAGCAAATTAATATTATTTATAACTCTGCCTTCCACAGAAAATAAGGAAAGAGTCAGTGAATTAGGTTCAATATCTACTGGTTTACTCTATAGAAGAGTATCACTCTTCTAAAGTATGAAGGAATTTGATGTGTAGTTTATACAGAGCCAACAGCACCTGATATAATTATTCATATTGTGCGGTATTAAGAGGTCTCAAGATGCTGTCTTTATCAGGTGTAAACTTTTGTCAGGCTTTTCACAGCTGGAAATTCATTTTAATTGTGCATACAGCTATTTATGTGTATTATTTGCACACTCTGCCTGTTACACTGTTTTAGAGTGTTTATGAATACTTTTACTAACTCTGTAACCTCTCCTAATGAACATAATACAGTGAGACAGACCATTTCATATATTGAATATATATATATTCAATATGTATATTCATATATTCATATTGGTCAACTGCCTTTTTTTTCCCTGAGGTATGACAGGAATAATGCCTCCTTGCATGCTAGCTTTTGACTGGAGGTCAGCGACCTCCAAACACAAAACTTGCTCTTTCAGTGTTCTTGTCTTTATCCAAGTGGAACAAATCAATGGTCTTGACTTGCAAAGCCAGTTAAACTACAATACAAAACCTTGCTGAATCTGCAAGTCAAGAATTGTATTGAATTAATGAAAACCAAAGGGAATTCCCATATTACAGGTTCATTATTGTAAGAGATCCTAGCTAAAAAACTATGAAGTAATATTATTAGTTGATAATGCATAAGAGATGAAATAAGTGCATCACTGTGTAATTCTGTGCAATTTATGGGCAATATTCTAAGTGTAAAATTGCCATTTTCAGACTTCCAAAGGAGATACTCCAAGGGCACTGGTGGGATTTAGGAGGCCAATCATGGTTAGATTTTTGATAGAAATTAAACTACTGAGGCTCAGATGCCTATTAAAAATATAATTAAAAATATAATTAGTACTGATGCTGAACAGCAACTAGGCTTCTAAATACTATGTATGTTGGTAGGAACCTTTTTCTGTAACTGCAGAAGTGCACAATCAACAGGGACAAACCTCCCTTGTTAGATCACTCATTCATTTCATCCTCATCATCACTTGATCACTGATAAAATCCAAGTCCCAAACTGTGACTGCCCCCCTCCTGCAAATAGGATGCCAGCTGCATTCACTGGTAAATAAGGAAAGACTAAAAATGCTCACTCTTCTTTATTTGCAGTACTTTTTTAGAATTATTGACTGTTGAGTTACCTGTAATATATACCTTTAGCAAAGAGTCATAATTTTAAGGATTGATTATTTTTCATCACTGACTTGTCTCACCCATGGTAGTTCTGCTTCTGGAGCAGAACTGAGATACATGGGAATTTATATGGGATTTATATGGGAAAAAGCTCACCTCATTTCCTTAGTAGGTAAAGGTGACTTCAGTTGCAATTGAGTTCACTATGGTTTATATGCCCTAAGTTTAATGCAATGTTAACGCTGAACAAAACAGTATGCTAAAGAATTTCACCATCCTGACAGGTGTCTGGGATGACTTTTTGTGGGAATACATTGTAAATCTGATTCATTGGCAGTGACAAAAAAGCCTAAAATATAAGGAATGAGCACCTGCAAGAAGTGTGCACTGTTCTTTTGAGTGTCTGTATTACATGATTTCTTTCAATTGTATGTCTTTCTGTCACCCTGCAATTACTCACTATGATTTTTCTCTATTACTTACACTATTTAATTTCTACTTTTTGCCTGAAAATAGATTATTTTTTAAATTGTTTTGTCCTTTTCCTATGGGTTCTCCTGGGCCTGTTGTTCCCATTCCAGTTAGTTTCTATTTGTTTGTAGCAACGACTGTGTATAATAGTGGCCTCAGATTTCTAGAAGCTATTACTCTTATAGACAGGACACTTCATTGATTGTTCTGAATGTAACATGTTTCAGCGATAAGATTAATGGACATGAGATCCCAAGATGACAAATTGATGAGGCTTTTAAACTAAGGGGCTGTGCAGCTCTGTGATTTCTTTTCAAATATGCAATTTGAAAAGCTTGACAGAGTTCACAATTAAAAAATGAGGCAAGAAAAGACATTAAGAGTTAAACACAGGTTTAGACCCTTTTCTTAGCAGGAATTGTCTCAAACATCTGCTTTGTAATGGAACATAAGTACATCTTACTATTTTGCAGAAGAAAGAGAGCCAAGTTACTGCAGAGTGTACTAGCACGGTCCCTTCTTCCACACTGTGGAGAAAAGAGGCTCCATGTTTCTATCGACAGAACTGTCAGACCCTACAAGGTTTTCAAGTCAGAGTGGTTTCAGATGGACTGGAAGGGAGTGGAAGGTTTTGAAACAGGAGCTCCTCAGAAAGCAAGCTCTCAATTTTATTGTCTAAGGCTGAGAAGATATTGGCAAGCAGAGTAGGATACCACTTTTGCTTCCCTGAAATTATTTGCTGTGTTGAACCCTAGTCGATCTTTAAACTGAAACTCTCAAACAAGGCTCAGGTTCACATACTGAGAGTCCATCACCTTACCTCTGTAGTGGGCAGGTGGCAGACAGCATCTAATCTAAACAAGTGCATCATCTGTTGTTCAATGGAGGAAAACATTTGACTTGCATATTTTATTGAGTTCTTTAAGGTTGTGGGTGAAGGAGTAGGACATCTACAATTCAGTATGAACCTATTGCAAAAATAGCCATCAAGCAACGAAACACAAACGAAAATGAAGATCACTGTTCAGGAGAAAAGTGTATGCTGATCAATATGGAAAACAATAGCACAGTGTGTATAGCGGCTTACCTTTGTCTGTGTGTAACAGTAGTTTAAGCATTTTCTACCACAGTCTTTGTCAGGTGTTAAGGAAGCATGTAAGTGTTTAAGACATTAACCACTTTTAATGGGGTGCTTTTTCTAACAGATGTGGAAAACACATCTTACCAGAGAAGGGGAGTAAATAAGATGTGATGTTTTAATGCATGGATGTTTTAAATGGTCAGTGAAGTTTATTAGATCAGGATTCAAGAAGATATGATTTCTCTAGCAAAACTTGAGCTATTCAATTTTGCAAGAAAGTATAAAATTCCTAACTGATAAAAGCTGTACTTTTCCAGAGGTGTAGTATATTGATCCCATGGAATTCATCATCACAGCCAGTAATCAAGAACAATAATCTAGCATGTGTAAAAAGAAAATAGGTGGCTACAGTCTCAAAATTTAGAGTTATTGCAGCTGTAAGCACTTAAAAAGGAATAGGTTTGTTAGACAGAGACTCTAGAAGTTAAACTGAATTTTAGCTACAAGAACTTAGATGAATACAGGACTTTTATTCTACTGCCACTCCTGTAACACTCTTACACATTCTTCTAGAGCATCCAGTGCTGGTCAGACCATGAAATGGAAAGATGGATTAGAGGGACTGAAGATCTTATTGCAGAACAATTCTGACTTTTTAAAGATGATATTCCAATTCTCTGCTTGCATGTAAATACCCTGGTCAATATAATTGAGATTGCTTCATTCTAATACTTCTCCGACTGTGTTTTTAGACTTGGAAGTCATTTTATTTACTGTTTTGTAAAATGCAAATGATGTAATTGTAAGTGATGGTAATAACTACATTGGAAACAAACTCCATATTAAACTGTCCAACACATAGTGGACTGTAAATTTGTTATACAGCTACCATAAACAGAATTTTTGCCGTGTAGAGTACTACAAAACCAACTTTAGCTGTTATTAACAAGTCATACTACAAAGGCAGTGAGTTTACTATATCAGCTAACAAGCAGCAGACTACAATTTCATATTTGCATTTACCTATGGGCTTAAATGAAGAGACATAGAAAGAGTAAGTTCTTTTGGCCTTTGTTACTGCTGCAAGTCAGAGAAAAGTGGTCTCTGTAATATAACTGTGTAATAATATGAAGAAAAGCAAACATCTAAGTATCTAAGTAAACAGTATCTAAGCAAACATCTCCACCTTTCTAGTCTACAGAGCTTACAGTTTCAGTCACAACAAAGCATTAAAACTCTTCCCAGCTGGATCTGTCTCAGATGAATACACATCCCTTTGCATCAACTAATATCCTAAATGGCAAAGTTGTACCACAACAGGGTGTGCTTTCTAAGGGAGAAAAAAAGACCCTGAAGCCATTTGAGCTGAAAGTCTAGAATCATTGTAATTTCTGATTTTGTGGCACCCTGTGTCGATCAGTGTCCTGTTGTGCAAAGCCGTGTCTGAATGAATAATACAAAAGCATCTGAGCTCCCAAGAATTTACATTTAAAGAGGGGATATTGTTAACTGAGGAGAATCATATAGCACTGTGTTGAGATGTACCCCTAATGCTATGATCTCTGTTTATGAATTATGGCTGTCTTCTGTCTAAGAACCCAGAAGTCCTCCAGCACACATCACTGCGACAACATTTATAAGTAAGACCATACTAGATACATACTACATGGGGGTTTTAATTTAGCATTGTGCTATGTATTAGAGGGGAGGGGTTTGTTTTAAAAAATGAAAAACAACACAGTGAGACTAAACCACCAGACCAAATCTGTGAGATTAAGCTGCCAGAACTAAAATGCCTGAACCATATGGTGCACAAGATAAAAACTGACATTTTTATTTTCCTGCAGATCCTTGAAAACTAAATGCACAACAGATGCAAAGAATCACCATTTTTGGGTCACAGTGCAAGACCGTTTAAAGTTCTGCAGTGCAATAAGCAAAGAGCTCATATTTATACAAGTTGTCAGAAGTCACTTAGATATAAGCAGAGTTGCTAAGTCTTGCCTGCAACATAATTTTCCTTCTAATATAATTTCTCATTTCCATGTAGAAGATATTGAGTAGGGCTCTGGAGGGCTATGTTTATCTTGTAACTCAGCCAATGCCCCAAGTGCCAGAATCATAGAAACATAGAACGGTTCGAGTTGGAAGAGACCTTAAAAATAATTGAGCTCAAACACTTCTGCTGTGAGCAGGGCACTTTCTACTCGACCACGTTGCTCAGAGCCCCACCCAGCTTGGTCTTCAACACCTCCAAGGATGGGACACAACCTCTCTGAGCAACTTGTTCCTGTGCCTCAACACCCTCACTTCAAAGAATTTCTTCCTAATGCCTAATCTAAAGCTACCCTTTTAAAGTCATTCTCCCTTTTCCTCTCCCCCTTTTATGTGCCCTTGTGAAAAGTCCCTCTTCGGCCTTGTTGTAAGTCCTCTTTAGGTACTGGAAGGCTCTTATAATGTCCCTCTGGAACCTTTTCTTCTGTAGGCTGAACAGCCTGTCGTCATAGGAGAGATCTTCCAGCCATGTGATCAACTTAGTGGTTCTCCTCTGGACTCCTTCCAACAGGTCTATGTCTTTCCTTCTCACCAGTCCAGAAAGATTCTTCCTGGAGTAGAGGGGTAGAATCAGGCAGAATCACCTCCCCTGACCTGCTGCTCATGCCTCTTTTGGTGCAAGTCAAGCATACAGTTGGCCTTCTGGGATGCAAGTATGCAGACCTGAGTCATACTGAGCTATTTTTCTGCAAACATTCCCCCAGTTCATTCATACCAGGGCTAGTCTGGATCTATTCTCCGCCCAGCCTGTATCTGTGTTTGGGGTTGTCGTGACCCATGTGCAGTAATATTAAAGTAAACTATGAACTTTGTGTAAGTATGTACTCTCATGGACTGCAAACAACTGGAACTTCTACTGAAGAGTTCTGCTGCCACATGCCACAGTATTTGAAATCTTGTCTGTATTTAAGACAATGATCTGTAGTCAAGGTCTGTATGAACTCTTGTTAGGCAGCAGTCCAACATTTCCTCTTCCTTACTACAAGGCTTTGTGAGCTATTTCATGTGGTCATTAGTACAAGAAGGGGGTTCTCTCATATCTTCACTGATTTAATTTTGTCCTGACTGCATTCAAGCCAAAGGCAGCAACTTTTTTTCCAATCTTTTTGCAATAGGCAGGACATGGTAAGGCAAGTTATGCTTCTGAAAGCTTAAAACCTTAGAAACTATTCCTTGTTCTTTTTCTGTTTATTATATTTCTGACAAATTATTCAAGAAAGCAAAAGAGGTTGGGAATTCAAAAGCACATTTTTTTCCCTGGAACATTCAAAATTAAAAAGATCTTAAGTATTTAGAAAGAAATTGTCTTCATTACTGATTTTGTATCTTAGCCCTAAACAATTATTATTATTATTATTATTATCTGATTTATATCAAAGACGACAAAGTACTTCCCAAGAAGTTTAGAGTCTGATTGGTAATGATACTTAAAATCTGCATGTTAGCACACTGAAAAACTTTCGAAATATAAATGAATTTTTAGAGGAAGTCTGAACTGAGGAATGAGATGCCACTGTTTCTGCTGTACAGTGGAAAGACTGGGCCCACGGGTTTTACACCACTTGTGCTTCATGTCAGGGCCTGGAATCATCATGTCTCTCCAGGAGTTTTGGCCACTGGGATCTGCGACTGTGTTCCCCTAGTGCCAGGGCCTTCCAGATGCCCTACAAGGAGGCAATGGCCAAAGCCCCTCCTGTCCTCTGGGAGCTGATTTTCAGCTGTGCCTTGAGCTGGGGCTGCCCTTTTGCTTCCTAGCTCACGTGGTGGCACAGCCCTGGCTGCTGACTCTGTTCTTCCCTCCTCAGGAGCCCCTACACCTGCTGGTCTCCAGGGGACAGCCAGTAAATCCCACCTGAAAGGTGAGCACTATTCACCTACCACTCCCTGAAAAACTCCATACTGGTGCCATTTGGAAGACAAGAGCTTCCCTGCCAGCAGCAGTGCACGGATCAGGCAAACCTTGCTTGAACAATAAAGGCCAACTGATTTCATCATCTTTCAGCTCTGCATGGTGGAAGAAGGGCATCTTCCACAAAAGCTGCAGTGAGAGGTCAAGTTACGATGATAAAGGCTCCAATCTGCAGTTCTACGGGAAGAAGGAAAAAAACAAAATTAGTGTTCCAGGTTGATACTTCAGGCTTCAAGCATCTATTTAGTATCATTCATACGGATTTAACCTTGAAGTACTTGTGAACGTCAGAACTGGTGCAAAGCATCTCAGCAGGCAAGTTAAAAGGCCTTCCAGAATTAAGTAGGAGTAAACTTGCAAATCAGCCCACAGGGTGATTTGCCATTTTTGTATAAACATTTTGGCTTTATGAAAAGGGAGGACATGCAGAGCACTTCTGTGCTGCTGCTGTGCTCCCAGCAATCCATAAAGGCCTAACCCCAGCATTAGATTATCAGATGCTCAGTTCACTAATCCACTAGCTATTACACCTGCATTCCAGAATTTTAATAAGAAATTCTACAGCTGAACCCTTTATATGCTCCTTGAAACAAAGACATCAGCTGTGTCTTCTTCCCTCCAAACTGGCAGGAAGATTCCCATGAGATATACTCCCTCTAGAAGAAATACATGTAACCTTGGGCTTAAATCCTAGAAGTTCTTATGAAAGGTGGAACTGGGTGTGGTAGTGGAATTCTGATAACACTGTAATTGAATGTTGCAGTGTTAGCTGAGTTCCTCTTTGCTCTTATATCCTCCAGACATGTTCCTTTGGCTTAGATTTTATGAACAATGTCATAGGAAATGTATTTTCAGGTATATTAGTTTATATTCTAAGTAGACATTTCCCCAGGGAAATGGTTGATATCATGCCTTAGACACAGATATGAACTTGTGGTGAGAGAATCACAAATCCTACTGCTAACCAAGTGGCAAAAGTGTAGTGCTCAAGCTTTTTCCCCTCAGATTTCAGATGTAAGTAATAACATTAACCTGTCAGCATTTTCTCTGTAAGAATATATCTGCAGTTTCTTCTGGATATTCTGAGTATGTAAAGAGTGATATTGTTTTGAATTAAAAAATACTGTTGTGATTCCTTACTCTCATACATTGTAGGGCATGCATTTGATGTCTGAAGTGGAATAATCACCTGTTATTATCAGTCTGACACAACTCATTCCTCATCCATAAATTCTTTTCTTCTCCTGAAATGTATTTTTGTAGTTGAAAGGTAAAGACATTAATAATCAGAAACCTGCATAAAACATGCCTTCCTGCAAACTGATCACTCTGATTGATTTCCTGAATTGCAATGCCCTGTTTCTCTTCTCTGGATGGACAACAAATAGGAAATGTCCTGAGAAATTAAGTAGATCTTGATTCTATCAAAGAGAAGTTATAGGGAATTTTTTGACAAAAAATCAACAGAGGAAATGAGTAGTTATGTCTGATAAGTAAGCTTAGGAAAACATGAAACCTTTTCAATAGCTTGCACCCTCTTTTATTTTTCAGGAGTAAGTGTATTTGTTTATGTGACATTCATTCCATCTGTATATCTAATCATATCTCAAGTCACTTTTGAGGGGCAACTAAGTAAACAGTGTTTTGGACAAAATATTTGTCCTCCTTTGCAATGGATTTATTGATTTCTATTAAATAAAATAAGTCATAATTAAATAAAATAATAGTTGAGTTTATTGGCCCTTACTCCCAAGTTTTGACTGGAGGTTCCAGGAGGACATGGACTGGGGCATTTAGAAAGTACTCCAGTACTACAGCAGAGAACACCAAAACAAAATCATACCATGCCATCATTTTACCAGACCAAGCTGCATGTTTGTTGGTGAACTACTGGGATTTTTCTTTTTTGTCAGGAAGCAGGTGATTTAGAAACATGCTTGGACACTTGCAGGGTGGGATACTGAGTAGGTGACAATACCATGACAAAGCTTAGAATTCTTCCAGGTTAATTATGTTACAAATCAAAGGTCTTCACACTCACCTATAAAGGAATCATTAGCAAGATATTTTAACAAAAATAGAAAGTGAAATAAAATAAAGACATCATGAGTCACCAAAAAGTTTCAATATAGTTACTACAGAAATAGATGTACCTCCCAGTACCTCATTTATTTTTACACTGAAATCTCTATAAGCAGCATTGAAATAATAGTGACATTTTGCACTTAAAAACTTAATTCAGACTTTACTTTTGCCGAAATTTTATTTTTACATAGTTTTTTTCAAAAGTGAGGAATTTAAGTTCAGTATTTTGAGTAATATGACTTCTTAGGCATACAGAGACTTGGGAACACACTCTCTAAAGCAATACTGAAACATAGGAAGTTTGTGTGTTTTGGCCTGGACAGGGTTGATTTTTTACAGTAGCTGGGAGGGGGGAACGTCTGAGAGTGCATGACGAGGACCCAGATGTCATTCTATACTACTTCTCGTCGTTATTGGGGTCAGAGGTCTGACTCTGGGGAAGAAGAGTAGGGCGTCCAGTAGAAAAAACATGTGAGGTAGGTGAGAGG